ATATAACTTATTCTATTAACTATCTCCCCCACAAAGGCAGGGATTGCAATGTATACAGATCTATTGGAAGCATATACATCTGGCATGAACAGTTGCTCAGCAAGTGTCTGCTGAATGAAAGAAGGAAACATTTCTAATTATGTATTTATTTGTTGTCTACTTGTTTTGTATCCTGCCTGCCCCACTGGTCACACCCTGCCTGGGGTGGCACTGGATCTGTTATAGTCATCCTGTACCCTCAGTGCTTGGCTGGTACACAGTGGACACTCCGTGCCCATTCAATGATTTGTACACATGGTCACTGCCAGCTCAACTGCTCCTCAAGCTTTCCCTTGTGCTCCCACCACAGGCCTACTGAGCACTCACCTGAGTTCAGCCCTGTCCTGACAGACACTTCTGCCTTCCCTTCTGTCAGTGGTGCCTGGGCTCCCCACAGGCTGGACACCATAGTACAGGCAACCAGGATCCATGATGTGCACTGGTAGGGGCAGAGGGCGAAGAGGCAGGGAAGAGGAGATCAGGTCTGAAGTCACGGCTGACGCGGTCCCTCCCTGAGCCCAGGATGACCCACATACCTGTGCCTGTTGTGGGCCTGAGGGTAGGGGTGGGGGCAGGGGTGGGAGCAGCTGTCTGGGAGCTGTCTGGACCCCTGAGGAAGAAGGTGTGTTGGTTACTAAGGGAGAGGAGGAAGAACTCCCCTTATGCCCTGCTCCCCCATCCCCTCTTCCACCCCCGCATCTGATACCCCAGGAAACCAACCCTACTCACTTGTCCTGAGCTGTCTGTGCCCCGCCTCTTAAGTCCAGGCCAAAGTAGATGGCATTGGGCATCATTTCCATGGTATTTGAGGTTGACAGCTGCTCAGAGGATGATGTAGGAAGAGGAGGTGACCTGGAGCTGCACTTTGAATTTCTAGATACTTCTGGTGCCCACAAGGCTGGGCTCAGCCCAGGCCTCTGGGGCGTAGGAAGGCCACTGAGCCCACTAAACACTGTCCTGGGCTTGGGTATGGGCTTGGAGGGCTGGGATTGGGGGTCTGGGCTGGGGGATGGCTCCATGGTACTATCCGACTTGAGATCCAGGGAGTCCTCCGAAGTGCCCGCCTGCAGCAGGCGCAGAATGCGTTTCCGGTGCCCTGTGGCGCTGATGCCCAACTGCCTCAGCTCCTCGTGGCCCAGGCCTTGGGCTGCGCCTGCTGTAGCCAGGCCATGTTGCCGGAACGTGTCTGCATACTGCTCCAGATGTACCTTGGCCAGCCACACAGTGATGTCCAGGTCCTGAGGGGCAGCCATGGGGGCTCAGGCCATTGCTGGGAGGAGGGGCAGGGGGAAGGGAGGGCTCAGGCTGAGATTCCCCCTCCCTGCCACAAAGTGTGAGGCTTGGACAGAGTGTACCACCCTCTGATCTTCCTCCAAAGAAAATGCCCAAAGGTCTGAGATCTAGAGGCAGAACCTTTCTAGAGTATTAGAAGGAACTTTCTCCGCACAAGACGGTCTCTTTGTGCACAGCTGAGGAAACTGAAGCCCAGGGAGAGGGAAGGGAGTGATCCAAGGCTCACAACAAGTAGTGTTAGTATTGGCCCCCAAGTGCCTGCCCTCCCTGGGTCTGGGTCGAAACTCTGCCCCTGCCTACTGCATATTTAACTGAGTAAGCTTGGGACAAAATGCTAGAACCCTGCTGGGCAGGGAAGGGTGAGAAGAAGGGGAGGTAGGGTCATTGATGTGAGATCCAGCTGTGGCAAAAGGTGGGGAGAGGGGCAGGCTATGGAGGGCGAAGGAGGTAAGGACACCACTCCCACTGGTTTCCAGAGCTGAGGTTCAGGCTGGACGTCCCAATCCTGGTTGTTCCCAGTTCCTCCTCCCCTTCCACCTATTGTCTCTTCTCAGACTTCCTTCCTGCCCCTTTAGCCTGGCCACCCCCACATCCTGCCTGCTTTGGCCAAGCTGCCCAGAGGGCCCTAAGAATTCCCAGTGTGTGGTGTCTGGGCCTGAAGAGGCGCCACTCAGGGAATAGGGGTGGGTGGAGAACTGGGCCAGAGAGATGGAGGATCAGAGGCCAGGGGCAGCAGACCAGGGGTTTTCTCATCCTCCACCCACCCAGCTATGTTTGCATGTGTGTGCACACCCCACACACACCCGCTTTGCCATGCCTTCCTTTTCTGAGCCCTCTTCCCTGCCCATGCCCTTGGGCTCAGGGCTCTAAGGCTCTGCCCCACTGGGCCAGCCTGGTCTGTTCCCTTGATCTCTTCCCTGTCCCTGTCCCTATCCCTATTCATCTCTACCTTTAAATCCCTCTTTGTCCCTCTCCTTGTCCCTCCTTATTCTGCTCTCAATGTTCAATTCTAATAGGTCTGAAGCGCTTCTGTGTCACTGACCACCTCTGACCCTGACTTTGTGGCTTTCTCTCTGCCTGCACACTCTCCCAGTTGCGCTGTCCTTGCTCTCCTACTTGGTCCCTGAAGGTCCCAGCATCAGTTCTGGCTTTCCTCTCTCTCTCTCTCCCCCTCTCTCTGGCTGGGCCCTATCCCCAAGCCAGGGCCAGGGTGCTGAGCTTCAGCGGAGTCAGGGCTCAGTTTCCCTCGCCCGGTGCCTCCCAGCCAAGCCTGGAGGTGCTGGCTGGACTGCAGGGGGGTGTGTCGGGGCGGGCGGGGCAGCTCGGGCTGCTGCGAGGGAGGGGGCAGGGAGGGAGGGGGCAAAGCAAGAGGGAAGGCCAGGTCGCGGCGAGGAAGGGGTCTGGGGCCGAGGGAGGCCGCCCACGCGGAAGGGCGCCGGGAGCCCACGGAGGCCCTGGGGGGGTGATGGGGTGGAGTCTGGGCGGCAGGGGCCCGGGATGCGGGGGTCCTCACCTCGCTACGCAGCCGCGGTGCTCCCCGGTGCCAGCCGCGCCGTCCGAGTCCGGTCTGGCCGCGCGGCCCCGCCCCCACAGCCCTCCCCCGACGGCCGGCCCCGCCCCGCCCGGCGGCTCCCTCCGCGGCTTGGCCACTCCTTGTGCAACGCGGACCTGCAGGTGGTGAGGCCTCCTTACCCAACCGCAGCACTTATCTCAGGGGCTGCCAGGCTCTGCCCTCTCGTCGAGCTAGAAAAGGTCCAGAACACAGCCAGGAGCTGAGACAGCTTTAGGGAGAGGGGCAGAAAGGCAGGGACAAGAGCAGAGATGGGGACAGAGGCCTTTGCAACCCCTCCAGTGCTGCCACTGGAGCAGAAGGGGCCGGGTCCTGTCTACTTATCTGTGAAGTGGGCCAGGATGGCGGACCCTGGCATCCAGTTAGATGGGGGCAGAAGCTGGACGTGCAGAAGTCATAAATGGGCACAGCCTTCTAGCTGAGTACCCTGTCCTCTCTGCATCCCTGAGATCCGGCCCGGGTAAACAGGCGAAGAAGAGGCGCCTCCGCTGCTTCTGCTCCCCCAAGGGCCCTAAACCTCTGCAGAGAGATGAAGACCAAGGAGTGCCCCACTTCCAAACTTACAAACCAAGGTTAGGGGTCTGCTTTGGGGATAAGGCAAACAGGGACTGAGCCAGCCTCCTTCACGCAAGTCCCTGGAGTAGGGGGCGCTGAGGAGAGAAGCTCTCCTCCCCTCCCCCATTTCTTCTGCAGGAGCCTGACCTCTAGGGCCGAGAGGCACTTCCCCTCCGAGTAGGGCCAGTGTTTCGCTGTGAGTGATGTTGGGGGGGCCGTTGCTGGCCGGCTGTGTTTTCCTGTTTGTATGAGAGGAAGTAGACTGTGAGTCAGCAGCCAAAGGAACTGTTAGTAGTGAGGGGAAGACCCCTGCCTCAGGAGCATGTGGGGAACTGGGTTCCCTGCTGTCCCAGCTCAGGGAAGGACTGTCATCCTCCGCCTCCCACAGTCCCACCTCCCCAGGGCCTTCCTTTTGAGAAAGAGAATGATAATAATTAATAATTAAAATGTCCATAATAATATCTGCCAATTATTGAGAGCTGTCTATGTCCTAGGTCCTGTGCAAACATTGCTTTTGCAAATTTCAATTAATCCTCACAGTACCTTCATAAGATAGGGAATTTTATCACCTCCATTTTACAGGTAAGGAGACAGGGAACATTCAGTAACTTGCTGAAGGCCCAGCAGTTAGAAAATGGCAAACTCCCCGAGCCACCTACAGCCCTGGACAGGACCCCTGCGGCAGGGCTGCAGGAGGACTACTCTGTCCTTTTTTCCAGATGGGCAAGTGTGGAGGTGGTGAGAATGCGTCTCATGGAACTTCAGCTATAGGGAGTGAAATTTATCAAGTCCTACCTGCTTCCCTCTGAAATCATCAGTTCCTGCTCTAAGGCCAGCTTCACAGTGGACGCTCCAAGCCAGCGATGGAGCTCAGTGGAGATCTGAGGGCAGGCACATTCCTGGGAGATACTCTGAAGCAGCGAAGGCGCTGCTATTCCTGGGAGATACTCTTCTTACTCCAAGAATGTCCCGATGGTCTTGCCGAACCTTCCCGGACCACATGGTGGTCTGGGATACTTCCTCGCAATTTCCTTCCTTCTTTCACTGTGTCCCTCACAACTCTCACAGCCCAGCCTGCCTTCTCTCAGAGGCACTTCCCCTGCTCAAATCCTGGCAGATTTCATCCTGCTGTGGCCGCTTCTCATTGCAGGACTAATGAAGCAAGGGTGTAGCAAAAGAAAGCCCAGGGCATGGGGTGTTGGGGGTTCTGGTGAGATGTAGCTCTGAAGCTTTTTAGTTCTGTGTTTTTTACTGGTAACCAGGTAAAGCATGTGGGCCCTATCTCCCAATAATGTTTTAAAATGCATAAAATAAAGCATATAGGATTCTAAAGGAAACCAGTTGTATTGCAATAAAGTTATAAAACTATTTTTAATGTGATATAGAATATATGAGCTTTTTTATTAATGCTTTAAATAAGATCTAGTGTTAGGTTGATACCTCACACAATTTTCAAGTAGTGATGAGCATAAATGAAATTTATGATTGATATTTCAAAAGATCTGCACCCGTGTGCTATGATGTGAAAACACGTATGATTTCTGTTGGTGACAAAGCTATAGTTATAGCTAATATGACGGGTTTGTTGGGATTGTCATAATTGAAGGAAATATTAAATTCTGCCCACCCCTGCTAGAGATTAGTAAAAATAATATAATTTTTCCCCCATCTAAGTTCATTAGGTCCAAGAGGATCAGAGCTGAGCCGCAGAGGAGACCTGCCTACTCTTTAAAACCACTTCCTCTCCAGCGTGATGATGTGGGGTGGCCAGAGGCTCTGTGTGTCTTCCCTCCCTTTTCCCTTGCCTCCTTTCTGGGTTTCTCTCCATCTCTTCTTTCTGTCTCTCTTCCTGTTTGTGTCTTTTCCTCTGAGTTCCGTTCTGTCTTTCTTCCCTCTAAATCTCTTTGTGGATTTCTCTGTGTTTATCTGTCTTCTGTTTGTTGTCTATCTGTCTGCCTGTCTGTCTCTCTCTCTCTGTGGTTCCATAATCTGTCACTGAGGGGATAGGGCAGATTTAGGGAGATCCCTATATCCCAGGCACAGTAGGGCAAAAAGAACCCTCTGATTCTAGGGTCATTGGACCTGGAGGAGGGAGTTTCCCTGGGCTTCAGGCTCTGGCCTGTGGGGCACAGGTCTTCCTCATTCTCATGCTCAGCCTTGGCAAGGTTAGAAACAGGTCAAGATAGAAATGAATGAGAGCAAAGGCAGGAGTGGAGGCGTCCCAGGCTCCAGAGGACAAAAGCCCCTGTGCCTCTGAGCAGGGGTACAGTGGGGTCTTTCCCCATACTCCTCTCCATGGAGCTGCAGTGCAGGGGCCCAGATGGTAAAGCTTCCCTGGCCACCTCCACCACTCTGAGCAAGCACTGCCCAGGCCCCACATGAGGCACAGGGACTTGAACCTGGCGAGGAGCTGACTGAGATGTCACCCCTGACTGCTCGGACATGGGTGGAAGGCAGGTCGGTGGGCTCAGGGAAGGGGTCATAGGTTTCTGGAGCTTGATCTTGCCTCTGAGTACTCAAGGAGGAGGGAGAGCACCTTTGTCAGGGTGTAGGACTAGAAGATGCCTGGGGCAGGGGAGGGCTAGTGATCTGAGAATGGTCACAGCGGGTCCTGAAAGAGCCCAGGGCATTCCAGAGGTGGGGCTGGGGGAACTGGAATGAACCAGGTCACAGGAGAGAGAGGACACTGGGTGGTAACTAGTATCCCGTGGAGGGACCTCTTCCCTTGGAGGCTACATGGGGTCTCTGCTCCTTAGTCAGGCCCTCTCATCCTCACTATCCAGTACCACCAGGGTCATCCTTCGGCAACATCTGCAGTGTCAGGCTGGCTGAGGGAACTCTTACTGTAGGGATGGCCACAGCTGCTTTTCCTTTTGAGCTGCCTTCTGTAGCTCCCTTAAGGCCTAGCAGACGGTGAAACTCCCTCTGAACTGTCGCCCTGGAAGGCCACAGACTCAGTTCACCCTGACTGGGGAGTCTGCATTATTGACCTTCACCATCGGATCTGCCTGCTCTGTGCAGCCCAAATATAAGCTGCGGGCCCACAGGACAGTGTATGCGTGGAGTTGCAGTAGGAAAAGAAGGTATAGCGCAGAAACCAAAAAGAATAAATGGGTTCCCAAAGTTGCATCTCTCAAAGGACCCCCTAACTTCTATGTTACTCACAGAGCTCCATCATCTGGCACTTCTTACCCCCCTTTTCCCAGAACCACCCCAGTTTTTCTCCCGTGCTCTTTATTGTGAAGTTTGATTTGGCCTCTCTGGCATTTTGCAGGCATGAAGGAAGGAACCTGGCATTAGTTCATTTTAAATCTAACCCTAAAACATGGGACAAAAGGGACAATAGTGAGCAGAGAAAGGGACAGAACTAGTCAAGCGGAATTCTCTAACCCTTCCATGTCTTTCTTCACTTCCCATCCAGACTACTGAGACACAACTACTTTGGAAGCTACTTTCTGCACCAAAAAAGCACGGTATGTAGTAATCAAGAGTAGAGTTTTAAGCTGGGCATGGAGATGCATACCTGTAATCCCAGCACTCAGGAGGCTGAGGCAGGAGGATCACTACAAGTTCAAGGCCAGCCTGGGCTACAAAATGAGTTCAAAGCCAGCCTGAACTGCATAGTGAAAACCTGTCTCAGAAAGACAAAAAAAACAAGTAGAGTCTTGAAGTCTTGCAGGTGGGTGTGATGGTTCATAACAGTAATCCTACCTACTCAGGAGGCTGAGCCAGGAGGATCAAAAGTTCCAGTCCTGACTAGTAGCAAGATCCTGTTTAAAAAAAAAAAGTTTCTGGGCTTGATCCCTGGTACAAGAAAAGAAAATGGAAGGGAGGTAGGGAAGGAGAGAGAGAGACTCTATGGTAAAACCCTGACTCTTCTTCAGCTGCTGGGGCCTGTACCTCAGTTTCCTTTACTGCACAATGGAAATGCTGACAGGATTGTTGTGAAGATTAATCCATGGAAATATATGGGTAATGTGTGGAAAGGGGTGACGCACAGTAAGTGCTCAATAAGCGTTTCCCATTCCTTGTTACTATTTTTACCTGTCACTTCCATGGTAACTCTGGAACATACCCAGCTTGCCTACTACCCCATCACCCCGGGATATCCTAGTGCCTCTCTTCAGTCAGCCATGGTATCTTTTTGTTTGTTTGTGCAGTACTGAGCTCTTTTTATTTTATTTTATTTTTTAAATTTTTGAGACAAGGCCTGTCTAGTTTACTTGGGCTAAACTCAAATTCATAATCCTCCTTTCTTGGCCTCCCCAGTAGCTAGGATTATATGCTTGTGCCACCATGTCGGGCTGATGGCATCTTATTACCCAATTAGACCATGTTGCACTCGTTTTTTTTTTAAATACATATATATGTATATATATTTGTTTATTCATTTGTCTTTTTGAGACAGGATTTCACTATGCAGTTCAGGCTGGCCTGGAACTCACTTTGTAGCCCAGGCTGGCCTCAAACTCGCAGTGATCCTCCTGCCTCAGCATCCTGAATGCTGGAATTACAGGTGTGCGCCAGCACACCAGGCTCCCTTGTTATATTTTTACCATCTCCCGAGATTCCTCTTTGTCATCTTGTCACTTTTGTTATTCTTACCCAATTTCCTGTGACTCCTACAACTCCTGATCACCTCCATTGTCTCCAGTGGCCTCCAGGCCACACACTTTCCCTAGCCCTCACCCTCTGGGTGGTAGAGGGCATGGCCACCACCCACCTGAGATGCAGCAGCGGGAGTAGGGCCCTGAGGGGCATGCATCTTGCAGGAAGGAGCGCTCCCACTCGTTTCATTTTTCTCAACATTTATAGTGCATCTCTTCTGGGCCAACTATGCTCAAAGGTTCAAGGGCATATCAGGCTTCACAATAGACTCTGGGAAGCATGACTTGCTAGGGAAAGAAGACATCTAACAAAGAACCTTCAAACAGAAGTGTGTAACAGAGGCACCTGGCCCGGCCTGCGGTCTGGGAAGGCTTCTCCAGAAAGCTCTGCTGGAGTCCAGAAACAAGGGAGGTTTGGAAGGACTGGGAGTGAGCATTCCAGGCAGAGAAACTTGAGTGCGAAGGCCCTGAAGTAGCAGAGACTGGGAGCTTGGAGCCAGCTGAGAATGAAGGGATTCAGGGACCATACAGGCCCTTCTAGCTGCTGGCTGAGAATCAGGTTTGAAATTTAAGAGAATACAGGCATGGAGACTAGTTAGGATCCACTTCCCTCACCCCCGATTCCCATGGCC